ACCTTACGTGACCCAACCACTCCACCCAGCCCCATCTGTGGCCTCCGCAGGATGGGCGGGTCTGGATCTACATACGGTATCCACTGCCTCTTTTAGTGTCAACTACACTCGCTACATAGAGGCCGAATGAGGGCATGCCGGCTCCTAAAGACAGCCGGCTTTATGGAAGTACAGGTCTACGCGCCTTGGGCTGTCCACGTCCACAATGCCGCCGACATGGAGGATTTCGGCAAGACCCTGCTTGCAATTCTCATGAGACTAGGGTGACTAAGGACTTCAGTAATCTCGATGTTGAGGCTTGCGGCTGTGGGCACTCGGCAATGCCTCCAGCCTGTGGCCTCCCCTGCCATCTTAGGGTAAGCAAGATCGAGTTTTATCTACCTCGCATCCGTGGGCCTTGACTAACTCACTGTCTCCTTACTAGAAGCCCGCCTCCGGGCCTTGCCCATAGGCGGTTCATCCTTATCCATCCTTCTATCATGTCCGTCCGGTCCTGTTTGTCAGACGCATTGACGGCTTTGCGTAGGAATCCTCGAAAGCGACCAAGAATCCGTGACAGATGCTGTCAGATATGGATCAACCTGTTCAACATAGCGATTGGGTCTCGCGTGCAGGTTCATAACCGAAGAAGACAATAAGACTTATGGCTTGGTGTTCATAGCATGCTGGACATGTTTCCCGTCTTGGGGGTCCTGGGGATTCAAGTTAGTATCCCCGTGAGTGTACTCCCGTTTTGTACTGCTTCTTACTAACGCCCATGGTAGATGCGCGCTGTGATGACAGGGGCCGGGGTCATTGCCGAGCTTTCGAAGCTGCATCCGCTCCGGAGCTCAGCCCTCGAGTGCCCTGACACACTCAACGCACAGTATACCGCGTCTGCTTGTTCACAGAGTTGTTCTGGTGTTCCCAGTCGGCAAAAAGTACGGTGTCTTCGGACAGAACTGGATGAAGACGGAGCAGTTTACATGGATTGCAACGCAAACGAATGTGGACCGACGGCTTGTTCTAAGTGGAACGCCCTCCTGGAATACTACAAGACTGGGAGTATCCGGGTCGACACCAGGGAACGAAAACCCAAATGAACGCTGATTTGAAGACGCCACACTGGACTACCTAGCCCGATGTGCGGCATATGGGTTGGGAGATGCCATGGGACATCCACTGCCGAGGAGTGACAGGCTCAATCAGAAGCTAATCCAGGCGTCTCAATGTTATCGCCGAATCGCTGGCTTTGAAGCTCCGAGCACATTATTAATACTGTTCGCGCACCTACAGTTGTTGATGAAGCAATTCGCAAATCGCAGGAGGAACTTGCTGCCGAGGTGAAGGAGAGAGACGCTCAGGAATTATTGGAGTACCTAGGTACTTCCAATGGCAGAAGAGCAGCCCATCAGCGCATAAAATCGCTAGATGACTGAAAGAGCCACATTGTGCCTGACGCGCTCTCACGGTTGCCGTCATATGCACGAGATGAGACTGAAGACTCGCTTGGCGAGATCTTCGAGTGGCATACCGGTATCCTGCGAGTCAACCTTTCAGAGGGCTTCGATAAACCAGCCAGTTTCATACCGCATCGCGCACTGATATACTCAATGACCAGCAACTGCATCAACATTGCGTCCGCTGCCCCTGCGCCCGTCGCTTCTGCCTCTGCTCCTTCGGAGCTCTTACATCTGGTAAGTTATCTCTCAGCTCTTCCCACCAGCTTGTGGTACGCCGCTGTTATAACCTAGGACGAACTCGTGGCTAACCTGTACAGTATTCCAAGCTTAAGATGCGCAGAAAGCATCTGGATCACGGACGTAGAAGGAAAGATCTCTCCGGTATTATGCACTTCTGGCCGGATGTACCCGTGGACGACTTCACTCTCAATCTTGAGGAGCCTGCTTCTGTCCACAGTTTGCCTATTACCAGATCGAACCAAGGGACCCCACGGCGGGCATGGTTCTAAATGCAGATGATGATACCACCCTGGAGGAGATACTAGGGGATCTGGCATTCTAAGACCGATGGCCGACTGCCAGCCTTCGGGGGTTTTATTTCGACAAACTGGACGGCGCGCAGGCCCTGGCCAGCCACAGCACCGCTGCCAGAGCCAAAGTAAGATTTTCAACTTCCTTACCAAGTTCCTGTCATTTTGAGATTCCACAAAACACAAGAACCATGGGGCGCCTAGACAAAGTGGTATGTTCTAAGTGCTCCCCAAGCCCTTAGCTACTACTTGAGTCGGTTTTTGTTACATTCTAACTGCTTGTTTGCTGCTTTAGAAGTGGTACCGTAATGATCCAAAGAATATAGATACTTTTGCCTGTGATCAAGACAACGCCCTGAGTCTATATATACATCCGGTCGCAAGCCCAAAGCTCCAGAACTGCTCCAGCTGGGAATGTCTCTTGCCGCCCGTGCAGGCTACGCTGGCTAAAATCGGCGAAAGAAACATCCACGGGTTATTCGCCGCATGAATTCATGTACGGAGCGCTTGGACTCAGAACACCGAGGATATGCTGGTCGGTTTCTGCAATGTTTTAACCCTGATTCATTTAATGCTAAAAATGCCTCCAACTTCAACGCCACCCACATGCATACCCTTACCTATGCCTCGCGAGTCAAGATTCATTAAATAAACTTGAAAATTTAGCTTCGCAGACGTCAAGGATTCTCCGCGCCCTATTGCCCAGCAGGTAATCCGTCACGGCAGAGGATCAAACCCATTGCAGGCTGCGTCCCGCTTAAGGCATCAGGGCACTGAATGATGGAGTCCCATTATCGAGAGAAAGCTAGGGTCCTGATGTCATGCCCGCGAGGCTTGCACGGGTTGCTTGCCTACCACGATCAACAAGCAGAGCCGTCCTGTAGGTGGAATGCCGTCAATTCACTGCTTAGGGTTAGTGAGTTAGCATTTGCAAGAAGCTTGACAAAAACCACCAGCAAGATGAGCCAGACCGGCTGACCAGATGTTGGAATCGGGTGGCTTTTGAACAATGCCCCAACCAAACGCCATTTGGAACCTACCTACGCGTCAGTTACCCTTAATTCAACCATTCTTTTTCGGCTTTTATACTTTTTCTGTAGCCCAAGCTGCTATTGAAAAGAAAAGGACCGAAGATTCAGGGTTGGGCTCCAAGGCTGGCTTTGGAACAACCAGATTCGATGACCTGGTTCAAGGTCTTTGCCCTGACTCGGACGATCGAGGATCTGCATTCGTATGTGCGTGGTCTTGCGTCAATGGAGCATATCCTTTAGAACAAACCCCATGTCTAATACCCCCGGAGAGTTCCCTGGAGAAGGGAGCAACGGTCTACGGTGGCGAGGAGACAGTGAGAAGCATCGAGGCCGTTGTACAAGCACACCCCGCTGCTTGGACCAATACAGAGACAATCGATGTCCCAGAACATAGACGGATGGGTATCTATCTGAAGCTCGGATGGGAGAACGACCTTGAGCGATGGCTTTTTCTCGATTGATCTGAGACTCACCACCTACTACTGCCGCCTCCTCTCTTACTCCTTTCTCAAAATGTAAGAAGTCCCTAAACTCCTGGGGAATGCCATCACGGAGAATTGACCAGCTCGCGCTTTCTCTCTACTCCGGAGCATCAGTCGCGCTTTTCTTAATGGAGTTTGAAGCGCTCGTGACTGACTTCGAGCTCACCTACAACAGCGATCGCAATGCGTACTTGTTTTGTCCAGCAGAGCTTCAATTCCTTGTTAACCGGAGCGCCAGAATTGTTAATTCTATTAAGAAAAACAAGGCCCATTTCGGAAAACACTATCCGGAAAACCTATACAAACGAGCATCGCGTATGAACACATTGGCACACCTTGCTGGAGCTCACGAGCTCATTGACCCTGTCTCTTGAGGTATCTTCTCCCTTTTCTATCTTGCTATGCCCTCAAGCTCATGTTTAATTTGTTTTATATTTATCTGATTCTAATCCCTTATAATAGCGGCGGGAAGAATTTAAGAATCTGTTAATTGTGGCAAGTGGGTTCAAGATTTTTCAATAATTCTGTTTTTCTCACCAGTACATCCCTTGATCTACTCACTTGTTCTTTGCAAGTAATAGTGTATCTATCCAAGGACCGGGAATTTGGTGGTTCAAGTGACAGCAACAACACGGCTCATCCCTTGGCAGTCTGTTGGCCAACTGAGTCCAATCCATGACGAGTGTGTGCTGCAGAGTTCGTGAAAATTGGGGGCGTTAGGGTTACTGTTCCTAATGCTACCGGCCTTATAGTTGCAACCCCTGGAGTTCTTCTTGTGTTGTAGGTAATGGATGCCAGTTTATTTGCATTACTAATGCTTTTCTTAGAAATCTTGAAGAATATCTCAAAGAAACGGCTCCAGCTAAGCGAATCAAACCAACTGATATGGTGGTGCTTAAGCAATGACGAAGGTTTTCCAAGGCCATCAGAGGTGCGGATCAATGAACAGGTTGTGTACAAACGAATTCTAGTCACAAGCCTGTTTATTCAAGAAGAAACATTCCACGTGGTGACGAGGGTTCTAGTATTACGAGGTCCCTTGAACAGAGGGCCGGGTTGTCCGGACATAAACATCCACGCATGCCCTGCACATTGTGTGCGCCTACATCTGTCTGGTAGCTATTGGTTATTAAAGGGCAAGCTGTGGTTTTCCCGCTCGTCGTCTTATGTATCCAAAATGACGGTTCGAGACGCTGCCGACTAATGGTAGTTTTATTAGTAATTTAAGGATTTGCGATACTTTTGAGAAAGGTACTAGGGCATGCTTTGATAGAACACGCTGGAGAACGTATATTATCTAGTATAACTTAAGATATACTCCAACCTACTATAATATACTAAGAGACCCAAGGCGACGCTCCGCAACGAAAATACAGTCATTTGTCACAGTCATAGGAATGGCATCACATACCTATGGTATACTCAGATAGTCTTAGAATGGTAGTTATGGTGTGGTAGCTAGGTCCAAGTCTCCGGAATGGACAAGCATTTGTGACCTTACAAAGCTTTCGTAGAGCAGGACAGGCCAACAATAAAGTCCATCGTTCGAACGGAGAGAGGGTATTCAAGATCGACATCTCCAAGGCATTTGACGTGAACTCCCTAACAATCTTCGAAATTGGTCAAGTGTACACGGGCCTAATATGAATTCTACAGGTTCACAACGCCCACCTAAGTCCCGTGTGCTGCAAGGACGACGTTAGGGAATACTCACTCACGTCTGCTTCTGCCGTTGGGCTTAAATTTCTTATTCAGCTCACACAAGCAAGTATCTCACACCGCAAAGTCCCGCTTGATTCCTGGGAAGGTTGGATAAGCACCTAACCAAGCCCAGGAGCACGAGAGGAATCCAACTATGTTGCAGGTGCCAGGGTTGCAGGATTCCACAGAGAGCGAGGCGCAAATTTAAATCGTCTCCGAGGACGGTTCCGCATCTTCGCCTTTTACCATTTGTCCCGCTCTCTAACCCCGGTCACAACAGCAATCTTGTGCCTAATTATATTATGACTTTTATCTCCTAGTCTACAGTTAATACAGAGCATCAGCCTAGTCTCCAAGGTCAGTCAAAAAGAATGAGAGAATAATCACACTTACTTCCGAGATTGACGCCCAGACCCAGGTTCAATTAAGGATGTTGACTTAAGCTGCCATCAAGCTGTCTTCCCCTGGCAGTCTGTGCCGATGATAGAAGCATCAAATGTCCTCGCCATGTGTGCACAGATGACAATAATGGAGCATTAAGATTGATCCAAGACTGGGCAAGGGAAGTCCAATGCGGCTAAGGAAAATCCTCCTTCGCGGATCGTGATTGAACTGGATTTTGAAGATCAAGGGAAGGATAAAATAAATCCGACCAGGCTTTGAGACACGAACAAATAACAAGGAAAGACAAGAAGGATATGAATAACAGTCCAGGCTCATGTCGCTGCTGTTACTCTAACTCCTTGTTAACCTTCATTGTTTATTACTTTCACCCAACCAACTTGTGCACCTGCAGTTGACTGACCTTTGATAATGGATAAAAGGCAAGACACAAAAGGCTCTCTTTCCTGTTTCCCTCTCCTTTGTATAACTAACAATTGGCCATGACAGCTCCTGATGCTACCGGGTTAAGGGCCCTCATGGACCACCTTGGCCTTCCACAAGGCTTGGAAGGTGACGAAATGGAAACTAAAGGAGCTCGACACCGATCGGGTTAAGAACCTTGAACGACTTGGAGAGTTCCTATGGACTTGCAAGGAGACAGATGCAAGCTTTGATGTTGAGATGGAGACTATGTGGACTACGGACTACAGTACATCCGAATGCTGACAAGTGGTCTCTACTCCACCCCCCTTGTTCAACCATGAAAAGACCCAGACCGAGACCTCCCAAGAATCCAAAGCCCCCAAAGACGGTCATCAACCTCCTTTAGCCCGGTCTGAAGACTAATATTACTAGGACTATCATGGTAAGGTTAGACCCCAGACTCTCCAAAAGTTCCTATACACAGCCTACAAGGCTTCTTCATTAACCAACATCCTACACTTTTACCACCCCGACATGGAAATAGTAAAGCAAAACATATGCCTTCTGGATATGGGGAATTTAAGCAGTCAACTATTTGGGCTGGATACCTTCCTTTTAATAAACTAGTATAGTTGAAAACAAATTGAGCAATAACCCTGCTCTATTTCCAGGGCCATGACTGGTCAATCCCTGAGATTTTTATCCCCGACAGAGACGCTCGCTTTCTCAGCGCTTTTTGGAAGGGGATGCTTAAAGCAATGAACACCCACTGGTTGTACTCAACGGCTTTTCATCCTCAAACTGATGGCCAAACAGAGAGGACCATCCAGAGAGTGGAAGTGATGCTAAGGCACAGCATGACACAGCACTCAAATCTTAAAAAAGCTATAGGGACGCGAGCTCTAACCAAGACATATGGATAGATTTCTTGGTTTCCTGACGGTATAGCTCCTGCCCA